GACGGTGATGTCGGTGGTGACAGGCTGACAGTAATGATAGTGGTGGGTATTGATGGGAATGGTGATGGTGGTGATGAGGATGGTGGTGGTGATGTGAGGATGGTGGTGGTAATTGCAATAGCGGTGGTGATGTGAGGATGGTGGTGGTAGTGATGGTGGTGGTGATGAGGACGGTGGTGGTGATGAGGACAGTGGTGGTGATGAGGATGGTGGTGGTGATGTGAGGATGGTGGTAGTGATGGTAACAATGGTGGTGATGTGAGGATGGTGGTGGTAATGGTAACAATGGTGATGTGAGGATGGTGGTGGTAGTGATGGTGGTGGTGATCTGATGATGGTGATGGTGTAATGAGGAGGATGGTGGTGGTGATGTGAGGATGGTGGTGGTGATGGTAACAAGGGTGGTGATGAGGATGGTGGTGGTGATTGCAATAGCGGTGGTGATGTGAGGATGGTGGTGGTAGTGATGGTGGTGGTGATGAGGACGGTGGTGGTGGTGATGAGGACGGGGGTGGTGGTGATGAGGATGGGGGTGGTGGTGATGAGGATGGTGATGGTGATGTGAGGATGGTGGTGGTGATGGTAACAATGGTGGGGATGGGGAGGGGGGGGGGAGTGGTGGGGGGGCAATGGTGGTGATGAGGATGGTGGTGGTAGTGATGGTGGTGGTGATCTGATGATGGTGGTGGTGTAATGAGGAGGATGGTGGTGGTGGTGGTAATAATGTCACACGTGATGAGGAAGATGCCACAGTGTTGATGGCCACGCTAACTCTGGGCTCTCTGGGTATGAGGCACCGTCTTCACAGAGCAACCCTGTGGAGCAGGCACTGCTGTGACCCTCGTGTTACCGAGGAGCCAGCGGAGGCCAGAGGACATCCTGGATGTACTGGACAGAGCCCTACATCTCCCTAGGGCAGGTCTCCCGACTTCCAGGCCTGTCCCCCTCCCCACCAGTGAGTCCCACAGAAGGCCCTGGAATCCCAAAGGTGCTGGAGCACAGGGGGGTTGGAAAGAGGGAGAGAAGGGAGAGGGGAGCATTCTCGGGTCCCTGAGGCCAATCCTACACCATGACGCACTCTGGCAGAGCAGGCCCCGCATCTCTGCCCCCAGTCCATGCCTGCCGGGTAAGGCCCCAGCCTGGACAGCGCGGAAACTTGCCCAGTTGTGGCTGGACTTTCCGTCTGTGCATTTTGTCTCCTTTACCTCCTCGGTGTGGTCTTCCAGATCGATTTCCACAAACATAGATGGCGTCTGTGAATGGAAACCAGTGAGAACGGAGTGACTGTCCTGGTGACTGAGGGAGTGGTGTCCAGTTCTCGACGGGGCAGTGGGCCAGTCCTCAGGGCACTGGGGTCTGGCATCCACAGACAGGACCGGAGAAGTGGGAGGCAGGGAGCCAGCCCTCCTGCTCTCCCCACACTGCCCTCGGGTCCGAGGCCCAGAGCTTGTCCTCCGCCTCCATCCTCTGAGGGCCTCCAGGGACAGGCAGTGACCTGGGGCAGCCCCACTGCTTCCACCCAGGCCACTCAGCTGGTAGCCCTTTGACCGTCTCCACAATCCTGCCGTGGCCACACTGCGTGCTGGGGCGTGGCCAGCCCTGACAGCCCACTGTGTTGCCACCCAGGGTCTCCAGCGGGCCTGACTGGCCGCCAAGGACGTAGGAGGGCCGTGTAACCACCAGAACCACGTGATGGCACATGCTGGTGAGTGTCCAGCTCCCACTCGTCCCCGGCCATGGGTGTGCGAGGGAGAATGACGCAGCTCCCTCAGGCTGCCTGTGAGAATGCCGACCGAGGCGCTGGTGTGGCTCTGGCCAGCGGGGCCAGGCTCTCGGGGGTTGGGCCAGGCCAGGCTGCAGGTCAGGTCCCCCAAGGCCCGCCCATGCCAGCAGCGGTACTGTGCGCAAGCTGCGGTCCGGCGGCCCTGGGACCAGGCGGCAGGGCTGGAGCGTGGCCCCCTCCGTGGGAAGGGCCCTCAGACCACAGTGCGCGGACCCCGTGGCCAAGCAGGGCTGTCGTTCTGTGACTGAAGTGGAAATCTCTTGCCTCCTTTTCCAGAAGGTCGCTGAGCACCATGGACTCACGCTCCTGCTCCTGTAACCCAGAGCAGACGCCAGAGGGTGAGGAAGGGCAGTGCCTGACAGGCGCAGGGCGCAGACGCACGGCCCTGACCTCGGCCTCCGGGGCGCGTCTGTCTGTGCGGGAGCCTCCCAGGGCAGGCACCTCGCTCTTCTCCAAGCTGGGCTCCGGGTCCCTGCTCTCACCATCCACCTTGCCGAGGCTGTCGGGGCTCTGCTCCTTGTCCTCCGGGTGTACCTGACTGGGCAGTGGGCAGGCGGTGGGACCGCAGTCACGAGGCTGCGCGACCACACCTATTTCCTCGCGGGTTCCGGGCGCAGGGCGAGCCTGGGAGGTGCCAAGGAGCCCCCGCACAGGCACGCCCGGCCCTCCTGACGGCCTCTGGCAGCCCCCCTGGCTGGCAGAACCCACCTGACAGCCCGGGCCGTCCCGAACTGGCTCCAGTTTCTCTACAGCCGACCTGGCTTATGGCCGACAAGGGTTACCCATGCCAGGAGCTAAGAGCTGGCGAGACGGGCCAGCCTCACGCTCGTGTGCAAATGGGCTGTGGACCAGCGGGGCGCGCTCCTGCACACGCCACCAGTGTGATAGGGCGGAGCGGGTAGGATGCAGCGAAGGTGGCAGGGGGTACGTAGGTGACTGCTGGCTCCCGGCCCGGGGCCACGAAGGCCACAGCTCCCCACCAAGGCCGTGGGCACTCTCACGCACACAGGGGACACATCTGACGTCCTCCAAGATGCCTGAGCACCCAGCCCTGAGAGGGACCACACCGAGCTGGCTTTTGGTGGCTGTTCCCTGCTTGGTCTCCTCTCAGGAGGACGTAAGAAGGGCCCAGGGGCTGGGTCGAGGCCACGGGGCGGGCGAGAGGCTCTGTGGGTGTCTGAGGAAGGTCCAGGCACCTCTCCGACGGGTCTGCCCTCATGGCAGGTGTGGTGCAGGCCTGGTGCGGACATGGAGAGTGCCACCAAGGTGCCAGTCTGGCCCTACCCAAAGTCTCTGAGCCAGTATCCATGTCACCTCATTGTCCCCAGGCAGGGGAGGGTTGCCAGGATGGACCGAGCTCTAAACCTCAGGCCTGGCTGTTGGGATGGGGCCACCTGGGCGGGAGGGGTGCGGGCAGTCTGAGGACGGAAGGTCCAGGCACCGCTCCGACGGGTCTGCCCTCATGGCAGGTGTGGTGCAGGCCTTGTGCGGACATGGAGAGTGCCACCAAGGTGCCAGTCTGGCCCTACCCAAAGTCTCTGAGCCAGTATCCATGTCACCTCATTGTCCCCAGGCAGGGGAGGGTTGCCAGGATGGACCGAGCTCTAAACCTCAGGCCTGGCTGTTGGGATGGGGCCACCTGGGCGGGAGGGGTGCGGGCAGTCTGAGGACCACGTGGGGTCCCGGGCAGGACCCGCTTACCCACTGGCATCGTCCGCGCAGCTCCTCGGGTCTCTCCCCTGGTCTTCAGGCTCTGCAGAGGGGGCGGGCATCAGCGCAGTGGCCCTCATGCCCCGACCTGGAGCTTCCGTGCCACGCGCTGGCCTGTCACCTGACGGTGCCTTGGGCTTTAGTAAGCCCCTAGCCCAGATCTGGGCAGGCCTCACGCTGCCGCTCACCTCCGGGTCCACCTCTCCTGCCCCTCCCCTGCCCCAGAGCCCTGGGTGACCGGGACAATGTGGGCATCCTGGGCCCTGGAGCTGTAACTGCCAAAGACCTCGGGGTGTCCTGAAACATCCTCATCCAGAACAGCCGGCCGAGGCGGAGTGCGAGGAGCTGGAGGAAGGGGACGAAACCTCTCGGCCCAGCCAGGACAGCCCTTGGTCATGACCCCGAGGTCCTGAGGGCACTACAGGCTGGCCTCGGAAGTGTGTTCTCCGGGAAAGTGACATTTCATGTCGGCCAGCAGGGCTTTTCACCCCGGGGCTGAGGGCAGGGCCCTGGCGCTCCTGAACTGCTCAAGGTCAGGGCCATTCGGAGCACAGAGACGCCCAGTGCCACAGGCGAAGGTGCGATCTGGGGGAGGACGCTCTTTCCGCAGCCCTTCTCTGCTTCCAGGGCATGTGGCGTTTAGGGAGGGCTGTGGCAGTGAGGCCTGGCATGGGCTCCATGTGGGTGTGGAGGCCGTGGGGGCCCCTCAGGTCCTCTGCACTCTCTGCGGCCACGTCTGTGCCTGGTGTGGTTGAGATGACGTGTCCCCCACACAGGGCGCTTCCCAAGCCCAGGGTTCAAACACAACCTGGGGCGTTCTGAACCTTCAGTGCGTCCTTGGCTGGAGGGTTGTGCGCAGCCTGACCTGCAGAGCTAGGCGTCGGCCACAGACTCAGTGAGGAGGGTGTCCTGTCCCACTGCTCTCTGCAGCTTGTCCCTCCCAGGGACACCTCCTCGCCCACGCTGCCCTGCGGGACGGCGGGCAGTGCCACAGCTGGGCCTCCTGCCCCCGCCCCTGGTCCCGCATGGCCTCCCCACGTGTGGCCGTCTTCCTCAGCCTTATTCTTCCTCCACTGCTGGTTGACCCACCGAGAGTGACAGGCGTGAAGCCAAAGGCCTTGGGAGCGCCTTGTAGCTCTCCAGAATTTTCTAGAACTTGGTTGGATGTTCCTCAGGGAGCAGAGGAAACTAGAGAGGGACCTGATGACTCCAGCTGAGTTTTCTGGAAGCACTTTTGTTATTGTTTTACTTTGCCAGGTGTGTGCTCACGGGGCGGGGACGTGAGAGCCTCGCTGGCGGGCATGTCACCACAGTCCCTTCCTCCGCCTGCCCTCCTTCCGGGCCTTCGGGCACACAGGCACACGCCCAGTGTGTTTCTCAAGCCGCCGTGTCCGGGACTCGGACCACAGCTGACCACATGGGATCCAGGCTGCCACAACACGGGTCCTGGCCGGCACCGAGCAGGGATCGCCCAGTAATGCTGGAAGTGGCGTCGGGTGGAGGCCTGGGGCCAGCTGCAGCTCCACGGGCTCGGGAGAGAGGAGGAGGGGTGTGAGCGGGCCACGTCCTTTGCTGCGCCTCCAACGAGCTAGATGATCCCAACCACGCACTGGCGACGTTGGGACGTGCGAGGCCAGGCAGAGCCCAGGTTCGAGTGGCTACACCGGTAGCTCCCCAGCGCCTTGGGGTAGGGAGAGCCATGCCCTGGGGTGTATGGTGGGTGGGTGGGTGTCACCAAGCTGGGAGTCGGGAACGGGCGCCAAGCTGGCGGGGGGGAGGGGCACGAGGGAGGTCCTCGGATCCTCTTGGTAAGCAGAACTCTGAGTCGGACTGCTCAGGGTCCAGAGAGTCCGCAGAGCCACAGCGTGGCACAGCTGAGGCCCTGCACCTGGGGCGGGCTGAGAGCCACCTTTCATGGTCAGGGAGCTCCCACCTGGCCCTGGGCACAGTTCCTGGCCCTCAAACGCATGGGACTAAGAGCCCCGGAGGCCCCGAGCAGGCGGTGGGAGAGAGTCTGGGGACATGAGACCAGCCAGCTGGCTGCGTGGGTTGCCCTTCTGGCGGGGGAGAAGCCCGGAGGCCGGAACCAGGATGTCTGTGGGCAAACACAGCGATGCTCTCCTGCGTGGTGGGGCCCTCAAGGGTGCCCTACGGGCTCGTCTCCTGAGCACGGCCTGTCTGACCTGGCATCCTCCCACGTCCACCGGAAGCCTCCCCGATGTGGTGCACACCCGCTGCTGCATGCAGCACCTGCCCACCGGATCTCGCCGAGCCCTCCGCAGAGGGCCAGGCCTGGGCGAAATGGCACAGTCTCTTCTAACCACACGGCAGGGCGGCAGGGCCTGACCAGGTCCAGGCACTGGAAGGCCACGTGGCCCCTGGAGACACCACATTGTGGCATGTTGGGGCCAGCGAGGCCCAGCCTCCGGGGCATGTGTGCCTGTGTGCAGGAGGGCTTGCTCCGCAGAGCCACTCCCCTGCAGCACTCCCCCTTCCATCCGGTCTTGGGGACCCAGCAGGTGCTGGAGGAACACAGGGTGGCGGCTCTCCCCTGCAGCCAGAGGACACGCATGGGTGGTGCTGAGCACCCCATCCCTCCCCGACCTCTTCCCACGGGACAGGGGTGGCCTCTGAGGACTGTGCGTGTCAGGAGCTGGGGGGCCAGGTGGTGCGGGCGCAGCAGCTCTTGTTGCCACCTCCAGCCTCCCCATGCAGTCCCTCTGGGCTTTCTATGCTGAGGCCAAGGCACGCGTCTCCACAGCGCCTCCCAGTGGCCCTTTGTCTCTCACTTCAGGGTCTCACAGTCCACCTTGCAGAGCACCAGGCAGGCCTGAGGACCCCGCACACCTGACACCCACCCGAGGGCTGGGCCGTGTTTAGAAATGCCCTGAGTGGCAGACACAGCCTAAGAGTGCGAGCCTACACATTTTGCTGCCTACAGGCCACGTACTGTCCACATAATTCTAGGCCAGTCTCCATGGCCCTGGGCCCACTGCTGGCCTGAAGGTCCCTGCAGGTCAACCAGGGCCTTGTCCTCTCGGGACCATAGAGGTGCCGCCCCCCACCTTCCCCGGCCTTTGCAGGGCATTTGTCAGGTCACCCCTGGGGTCCCCGCTCAGCTGCCCGCCTGGCACTCCCAAAGGCCCCTCTGCAGGCTCGCAGTGCCCCCCAAGAATGCTGTCTGCTCTGGCAGGAGCAGCAGCCTGGCAAGGCTGGGGAGGCACCCACCCAGCTCCCTGAGCAGCTGGCCGTGGCTTGGTGGGTCCCCTTTATGGTGCAGGCCGCCCACGCTCCGGCTCCTCTGCAGCTCAGCCACCTCGCCGGCCACCCTGTGTCCGGGGGCCACTCCTGAGGGCAGGGCCCCAGCGCCGGGCCGATGCTTCCTGTGTGCGACCATGGGGTCCTTCTCCATCCTCCCGTGGACGGGGATGCCGGTTCGCAGGCCTCCTCAAGCTGAGGGCATAGCTGCCCGCCCCTCGCGACTGTTTCTCCAGAGAAGTGGCCAGGAGTGTGCCGGGAACCCCGTTGCCATGGGGCTGCTGTGACATCATGCAGGTCAGAGGTGAGAGGTCAACCAGTACCTGCCCCTGGCCGGGAGTGGGTGCTGGGTTGTACGGGACCAAGAATGACCCAGGGTTGCGCCTCACCACTGAGGTCTCCCCCCGGCTTTGGGTGATCTGTTTGGAAACGCTCTTCTTTCCAGGGACGGGCTAAACGCAGGATGCCACGCGGGGGACTCAGGAGGTGCAGTGACTGGCAGGCACCACGGCAGCCACTGCACAGACCACAGGTCGTGCCCTCTCTGTCCTCTCCCGCACACGGCGGCGGGGGTGGGGGTGGGGCAGGAACGTGGGCTGCAGGGGCCTCCTGGGCCACAGGCCTGAGCAGTGCCCGCAGGAGCCTGGCTTCCCGCCTGGGCTGCCAGGATGGCTGTTGTGGCCACGTGAAAAGTAGGGGTTCATTCTCTGGAGGCCACGGGCAAACTCCGACGTGGACAGGGCTGGCTCCCCCAAGGGCACTCCTAGGCGTGTAGGTGCCATCTGCTGCCCGTGTCCTCCCTGGCTGTCCGGCTGCACGTGTCCGTGGCCTCCTCCTATGAGGACCCCCCCACGACCTCATCTCAGCTCAGTCACCCTGTAAAGCCACCCCATCCACACACGACTCTAGTCCAGCGCCCCCACCACAGAAGAGGCCACGCTCTGAGCGGCATCCAACGGCCACACAGGCTCCCTCTGGGGCAAGAGAGACCTCTACCTTTACTCTACCCTCCCGGTAGGGTCTGAGGACTGACCTGACCCAAGAAGGTGACAGGAAAGATGCACCCAGAGGTCCCCGAGTGTCCTGTGGGCTGCAGACCACAGGGTGGCAGAGCCTGGGTGATCCTCACAGGCTGAACAGACAACAGGATGGGGACGTGGCCAGGGGGTTGAGCACCCTGCTTCATCTCCCTCCTAGCAGGAAGGGCAGCCCCCAGCGGGCCATGTCCACTCTTGGTGGGAGGGAGGGCCGGGGACTTTCATGCACCTGCTGTACTGGGTGCTCTGGCTCCATGTCACCCTTACCCCAAGTTGCTTATTCTGAGGGGCCCTAGCCCACCACCCTTAGGCGCACCTGCTGGGCAGTTTGTGGAGGGCCAGCCCTTTGTGTGTGGGGCTCAGAACACCCAGAAAACAGTGAGGACTCCCAGAACGCATGGACCCCTCTGGTCTCTGGGCTGAGCCTGTAGGACCAGCGTGTCCTGGGGTTACCTGGCAGCAGCCCCTGCCCCAGCCTCCCCGACAGCAGCTGAGAGGGGCCTGCCCTAACCCTGATGTATGGTTGGCGGCTCCCCCACCTCGAGCTTGAAAATGCTCGCTTCTGTTTAAGATCCACCGAACTTCCATGAGGGGAGCAAACAATGGATTCTAGTCACCTGTCTCCAGAGAGACCACCTGTCATCAGAGAAGTCACCTGTCATCAGAGATGTCACCTGTCCCCAGAGAGATCACTTGTCGTCAGAGACATCACCTGTCCCCAGAGAGACCGCCTGTCGTCAGAGATGTCGCCTGTCCCCAGAGAGACCACCTGTCATCAGAGAAGTCACCTGTCGTCAGAGATGTCGCCTGTCCCCAGAGAGAGCGCCTGTCATCAGAGACATCACCTGTCCCCAGAGAGACCGCCTGTCATCAGAGATATCACCTGTCCCCAGAGAGACCGCCTGTCGTCAGAGATGTCGCCTGTCCCCAGAGAGAGCACCTGTCGTCAGAGATGTCGCCTATTGTCAGAGGGGTGCCATCTGCCAGGTATCCCCACCCACTGCCCTCCTCCCTACAAGTGGACGCCCTCCCCTTTGCAGTCCCAGCAGGTACCCCAGAGAGTCATGCCAGTCCTCGGGAAGAATAAAACATCTGTTTTAATTGACCAGGAAAATACCTAGCCCGTCATTAGTACTTTGTAAACAGAACATTGTTACAAATCTGTTAAGAATCGCAGCTCAGTGCAGCCCACAGCGCGCTCCTGAAGGTCCCCACCCCATCTCTGACCGAGTAACCTGTCTCCTGCCGCCTGGCGCCCGCCTGACCACGGCAGGTCCGAAGGAGCCCAAGGAGCCGGCACAAGGATGCCCGTCCTGTGCCGTCCCTGCCGCACCCTGCAGCCCGCAGCACACCCAGCCATCTGTGTGGCCAGCCCCACCGTGACCCCGGCCATTGCCCGTGCAGCTTCTCTGAGCCTTACAGATGCCAAGTTCACTCCTGGGCCAAGGTGTGTGCAGGCCCCACGGTCCCGTCTCGAACTCAGGACCTCGCCCCCCTCGGGTTCGCTCTGAGGCCTTCCCTTGGCTCTCAGGTGACACAGCTGGCTCCCTTTCGTTCACCTCCCTGGGGACACAGGTTTTGCTACTCTGAGTTATTTCCTATTAAAGAATGGATTAAAAATAGTCCTTTAAAAATTTAAGGAAAAAAGCAGTTTAAAAATGCACATTTCTGTTTTAAAAAATCTTCCCCAAACTTCTCTAGCAGATGGAAAGCACATGGACCCTGGTCTGAAATCGCGTTAGGTGAAAACAGCGTGGGCTTGGGCTGGGGCACGGCGGACCGTGGAGGAGACTGCCCGCACCCTCCGTCCCGGAGCCCTGGGGGCCGTGCCCCGAAGAGCCCGTCCTCACCTGGCCACTGCACTGACAGCCAGGGACAGAATCAGCCCCATGCAGGCCACAGCGGGCTTGTCAGAGGAGCCACACGTGACAGAAGCACACAAGGAAGGTCACGGCAGAGGCTAGGGCACCTCTCGGAGGGGCCAGCAGGCGCAGTGGACACGGATGGCACATGCTGCAGACACGTGTGGGTGGGGCCAGGCAGCCGCCACGCCGGGACTGCACAGTGATGGTGAGGCCGTTTCCTGACCACCACCTACTCTCCGGATTCCCAAGAAACAGACGGTGACACCCCAGAAAGGCCGGTTGGGTCTCCACGCCTGCAGACAGTGAGTGCACAGCGACTGTGGGAGCGGCAAGCTCGCAACCCGGGTGCCGTCAGCTGGTCCCTGGGCTGGTGAGACGGGTCCTTTCTCCTTCTCGCCCCGGCTCTCCAATAGCTCAGCAGCGCCCCCTGCAGGCCTCGTGGGCTCCTGACTGGCAGGCCTTGGGCAGGATGAGGGGGGCTCTCTGATTGGCAGGTCTCAGGCGGGACGAGGGGGCTCCCAACTGGCAGGCCTCAGATGGGACGAGGGGGCTCCCGACTGGCAGGCCTCAGATGGAATGGGTGGAGCTTTCTGACTGCTGCCGGACGTAGTTCTGGAAGCTTGTGTCCCCGATTGGGTGCTCCCTGCAGGAGAGACGCATACTCTCAGTACATGCGGGAGCAGAGGCGCGTGCTCACGGTGATGGACACAAGGAGTACAGGGAAGGGAAGGGAAGCACGAAGCCACCCTGAGCCCCCTCTGGAAGGGACCGCTGAGCTGTCTGCTCTGTGCACCCACGCAGCCACGAGTGCACATGTGTACACTGTGGAACACGCGTGCCCGCATGTTCAATGTATGTGCACATACAGGGTCTGCACATGTGTAGGACCAATGCAGGCAGCAGGCCCATGTGCAGAATGTGCATGTGATGAGGTGGAGTGTGAGCACCTCTGTAGAGGGGCATGTGTACTCTAAGGGCACATCTCGGTCTCTGGGGTGCTGCTGTGTGCCCGTGGGACAGCGTGCAGGCGGTCTGGCTGACATGCCAGGGTGTGCCCCGCTCAGGACAGGAGGCAGTGCCCCTGCAGTGCCATCCGACCCCCGGCTAAGACCCAGGCTGCTGGTGGCACATCTACGGGGTAGGTGTCACAGGCCTGACCCACAGGGCATGTGGTTTGGGGCTGGGTGCGGACACAGGCGTCCAGGGTATCAGCACCCCCAGAGGCTCAGTGCATCCCGGACCAGCCTGGTCTGAGTCCCCTCCTGGGGACCTGCTCCACCATGGAGTCGTACCCTCCCTCATCAAACACAGTCCGCCGAAGAGGCTGCCCAGGGCTCCCTGCCCGCAGCTGTGGTGTCCACGGAGCTCTGTGCTGGGGTCCCCAGTCCTGCCGTGGGACAGTGCTAAGAGACACCTGCTCACGTCCACTAGGGCTATCCCGGGCCCTCACGGGACTCAGTCTTCCCACAGTTGAGGGTCTTAAGACCCAGCTTGGAGCCCAAGGACCCTCAGGGCTTAGTTAAGCTGCCTGGGCCCACAGCCAGGGCTGGTGATGTGGCTTCCCACTCTGCATGCCGGCCCACGCCCTCAGAGATGGAGGGCTTGCCTCGGGGAACACACACACAGGCGGCTGGGGTGGAGGGCAGCAGCTCCCCCTGGTCTCAGGGGTGGCTCCAAGGCTGGCTCACCCAGCCGCCTCAGCGCACCCCAGCCTCTGTGGCCACTCACTGG